CGAACGCAATGGCGCATGCGGCCGTCTTTGGAGCCTTGTCACTTGACTTGGCCCTGGGACTTCTCCCTCTGCGCGGGGCAGGGGAGTTGGCCCCAGGTGACCCTGGCTTTGGAGCTGCCGGGGCGGCTTCGGACTTGGGTGCGGGAGCTGACGGCTTCTCTACATCCTTATGCTGGAACCGACATTTGTCACCCTTGTTGCAGTTGCCTTCTTTCCAGAACTTGCATGTCACGTTGATTTTCTTCTTTTGTTTGTCGCCTTTGGGGGACAATGATCTCTTCTTGTGAAGGAAAGGGCAGTTATTGCCTCGCTTGCAAGTTCCTTTGAGGAAATCGTAGCATACTCCCTTTGGGCTAGGTGTCCTAGGCTTGCTGGGAGACTGGGATCTACCTTTGCTGGGTGATCTTGGCCTTGGGCTCTGTGATCTGCCACGGCCTCCTCTTGAAGAGGGGCTGGAAGTTCGGCCAGGAGACTTTGAGGCAGGGGCACCGTACTTATCTCCGTGAGATCTTGCGATGCGGTCACGGTTCTTGCGTTTGCGCTCTCGGGTCAAAAGATCCTTAAGTGACTTCACAAGAAACCTGTACGTGTGCTGATCCGTGCCCTCTGATGCCCTGTCGTAAATCTCAAGATCGTACTTTAGCCTCTTGGACTGCCTGAGTTCACGAAGGAAAATGTCTCTTAGGGTCGTTTCGTCCGGTGTGTGGCTAAGTCCAGACATGACAGATTCCCAGTTGCTAATGAACACTGAAAGGTCGTCATTGATTAACCTTACTTTCAGCAGGTCCTCCACGGAGTACAGTGAGCCAACCTCCTCGTTCGTCTTGAAGTACTGATCGAAGAGGTAGAGCACCTGTCGTCCTCGTACCGCCCTGAATTTCGCCGCTTCTGTCTCCTTAAAAATGAGGATTTCTCGGGAGAGTTCTCCCCTAGCGACTTTGGTGAGTGCAGCAAGAAGTTTCGTGTCAAGGGTGAGGAATTTCTCAGGGTCTCGAAGGGATTCCTGCGATGCGTCTTTGTCGTAGGCCTTCATCACCCATTTAAACGCCTCATCAGGAGAATCTGATGCTGCCCTGACCGCTTCCCTAGCTGCCGTTTTCCATGAACGATACGACTCTGGACTTGGGAAATCCGGAAGGTTGATGGACTCTGCTTCTTTCACTTTGGGTTTGTCAGCATCGACTTTGCTCTCACCCCTTAAGGTTCTTAGGCTTTGAAGAATTGCCATTTGGGTCTCTAGGAGACCTGTGTTGAAAGCCTCCGTCCCTGGCGTGCCGGAATCGGCCGCTGGAGGGGCCGCTGTTCCTGGCGCTGCCTGGGAAGGTCCTGCCTTGGGGATTGACGATGCTGTTGCAGACGGAATGGACTGAGCATTCAAACCTCCTGGATTCATTGACTCGAACAGACATCTGGCACCCTGGGGGATTACGTTCGGCATTGAGAACATGGGCGCTTGAGGAGCTTTGGGGACAACAGAGGGACCAGCAGGGGTGCTTGGAGCAGGCATTGGCTGACTCTTTGGAGTAGCTGGGTTGTACTGATCCAAGACCTTCTCTAGTGCAGTTTCCGCAGAATCCAACCTGTCCTGAAGCTCTTCGTTCTGTTCCCTACATACAGCAAGGGACGCCTCATACTCTTCTTTCTGCCTGTTCCTAAACAACTCAAAGTGTGCTTGGAACTGTTCAACCATGACTTCCTGGGAATTCTCGACGTGCCGTCTCGCCTGTTCTTCGAGGTTCTGTGCAAAGCGTGATTCCGCCAGATGTTGATCCAATGCGTCTGTGATTCGGCTTTGTTGAAGTTCCGCTAGCTCTTGACGCAACCTTTGATCTTCGTCATAGGAATGCGCCTGACTTAAAGTCATTTCCGACAACAGGAGCCTTTCGCGATTTGCCGCCTTGAACTCGCTTTGTGCCAAGGCTGCTTGCAATTCTGCCACCACTTCAAGGTGGTTTCGTTCTGCTCTGTGCTCCAAGTCAGCTGTGTGAATTGCGGATGCTTCTTGATAGGTCAGCATGTGTTGCCTGTGTCTAGCTTCTGCCTGATCCTCTAGTTCTCCGACTTCCAGTCTGATCTGGTTAACGTGTACTTCGACACTATATTGTGGTGCGAAGACGTTGAATTGTTGGACTGAGGCTGGTGCCGGGAAAACTAAGCCGGGGGCGCCGCTCCCTGTATGGCCACCCGTGACCGGGGGCTGAAAAGGGTTCACGGTGCTTGTAACTGTATCCATACTTGCAGGAATAAGTTCCGGTTCGCTCATGCGCTGATTGATTGTATTGTAACCAACCAGTTGTGACCAGGCCGTAGGCTATACGGCTGATAACCTATAGTTGTTGTAAACCACTGCACACACGCACTGATAATAACCCGTCCAAGTGTTAGCAAGTAGCGCACGATACCATTAGGTAGCTACACCTTTTTCCTGCTAGAGCACTTGTGCCACAACGTCACCACACAACATGCTACTTCACACGTGCACAAATTACACCCTTCCAACCGCGCGCTACGGTTTCGGTTCGTGGTTCACGTACTCGAACATGAAACCCCAGCCCAGCCCCGAGCCTTGAAAGATGAAATCGAGCGAGCCTGGCAGCCTTGAGCAAGAAACATGGAACCTCTGGGGTGCTTCGAAGAAGCGGAGACTTCGAATGCTACGACGCAAGTCCGTACCCTAGACCCGAAACCCTGAACCCCTAAACCCCTAAACCCCTAAACCCCCAAAACCCCAAACCCCCAGACCCAGGCATGAAACCCCCAAAAGGCCCCTATCTGCCAGACCTCGACTCCTCAGAAGGGAGTCTCACTCTGCAAGGGACTCTGAGGACCTGATGGAACCCCTCGGTTCAGGGTTTAAGGCTTAAGGGTTAGGGTTTAGGACCTTTAGGATTTAGGATTTAGGATTTAGGATTCTCATGTAGCATACCTCGCAATGAAGACCCCGAACTTGAAAAAGCTGCACAGAGGCACCGTACCCGCAACCGGCTCAACATCAACAGCCTGCACTACCTTTGTTATTAATAACCCGATACGACGATACAATCTGAAGAACACGCGGTCATCGGATTTAGAAAATAGAGAAGACCATTATCAACCCCAGATCTTTCTAGAGACAAACAGCCTCAACCCAGGCTAAATAGAACCCTGCACCCCAGGACTGCTGTCTGAAGGGAGACACGGTGCTGCGGTGCACAGGATCACGTCGCTGCGCAACCCCGCAGCCTGCGCCTCCGAGGTGAGCCTTGCGGCTAAGTTGACTCAAGCGTCGTGCAGGCAGGCAGGCAGGCAGGCAGGCAGGCAGGCAGGAGCACATGTATGCGGCATACATGTACGTTGTACATATACATGTGAATATGTGCGCATCTGTGCGCTTAGTATTCTGGTTTTGTCTGTGCACATACATACAACAAACACGTGCGAATATGAAGTCTCACGTGCATCACCACAAGCATATATGAATACATGCACAAGCAGACGAACAGCTAAAGAATGAGTACATGACAACTTTATGGATAGATCAGCATGATGGGTCCAGTTTCCTTGTCTATTAGATACTTCAAGTAGAATGCAGAGAGGCCAGGTACAGCTTCTGAGATATTCGGAAGATTCCGTAAGTCTTAGTGAGCTTTGTTGAATCGAGAATGGCGATCGTCCGATGCCTTAACGACGTCGCTTTAGGGTTTAGGGTTTAGGGTTTAGGGGTTTAGGGTCTGAGCAAATTTATGCCCACGTGTACCTGCACATTCGCACTCACGTAGCAACAGGCTCCAGGAAGCCGCGATTCCGACGTGCGTTCAGTCTGGAGAGTTGTGGGAGTTTACACTCTGTTGCAAGTTGTTGTCGCAGTGAGTTGATGCCGTTTTGGAGTGGATGGGAAGCATCAGGGTGACGCCTTCTTCACCGAAACCTCTGGCGACTGACGACGACGGCCAATGGCGATTCTCGACAATTGGTGTGCAAGGGGTTACATATGAAGCTTGAATGCAAGGCGGCACTGCTTTGTTCGGCGGGTCAAGGGCTTGCCGAGCTGCAGTACCCCAAGGTCTTGCAAATGTTGCGCTGCTACTACAATCCGTTATGCAGACATCGAAATAACTTCAAGGTGGCTCAGATACCGTATACGGAGTATGCTTGCTGACTGCTTCAAAGGGTCATGCGAAGAGTCGTCCCCAGGAGCCCCTTTTGGCGGTCAAAGGTCTCAAAGCGCTCTGGGACTCCGGGATCCGTCGGAGCCTCAAGTTCAGGAAGGCCAAGGGGCTGGAGAGAGCTCCTCCAAAGTGACGTCCTCTCGTTGCAACTGGCCATGGTCCCATACCTGACTTGGAGGTTCATAGGTAGTTATAAGTAGGGCTACAAGTAGGGTGACTATACTTAGAACCCATGTTCGGGGACTTACTATAGCCCTACTTAGAACTTCCCTAACCCTTAAACCCCTAAACCCTATAGAACCCTTAAAGGAACCCTAGCCCTACTTAGAACTTCCCTAACCCTTAAACCCCTAAACCCTATAGAACCCTTAAAGGAACCCTAGCCCTACTTAGAACTTCCCTAACCCTTAAACCCCTAAACCCTATAGAACCCTTAAAGGAACCCTAGCCCTACTTAGAACTTCCCTAACCCTTAAACCCCTAAACCCTATAGAACCCTTAAAGGAACCCTAGCCCTACTTAGAACTTCCCTAATGAACCTCCAAAGAGGGCTCAGGTCTGAGACTCCCGGGTTCAAGAGCCTGAGCTCTCGCTTGGATCTGGTCCGCCACAGGAAAAAAAAGCCACCTGCAGCCCTCCCCCCAACAAAATGTGCTCCTCTTACCTTTGGTTAGTAGGGAATGGAGGAATGGGGTAGAATTATAAGTGCAATTACTACCATTCTTCCAGTCCCTACTAACCAAAGGTAAGGCTTCTAGCTAACCACGACTCCCACATCCTGCTGTAGATCCCTGGACCCCAAGCCCTCAACGAGTCTGTCTCCTCAACCCTACACAGCGGCCCACGTCGTGACTAGCGCAGGAAGCCGGGGTGCGTCACGGCCGACGGCCGCATTCTCTTGGCCTTGAGGTCTTGGAAAAAGAAGAGCGCCTGTGCGGTTCTAAATCCGGGACATAGCTGTATAGTTCAGGAAGTGTAGAGGCTGCTACCGAATTGTCTAGGAGTTGTTAAGGCTTGAGTGCATTCTGTAGGGACTTTGTGCCGGCACCGTCACGAGTCCAAAATTCAACATCCCAAGCCTCTAGCCTTAAACCCTTGACTCTGAAACCCCTGAAGCCAGAAAGCTCCCTAAACCCTAAACCCCTAAACGTTAAACCCTAAACCCCTAAACCCTAAACTCCAAACCGAAGCCCTCGGGCCTTTTCCCACTCCAAGCGCTTGCCCAGAGCGCTCAGCAGAGCGTTGAAAGAGATCACGTCCCTCTCCAGGCCACGCTTCGATGCCTGGCTCGAACTCTCCTTCCTGGTTCTTAGTAGGGAATGGGGTGGGTTCTTATTCTGTGCCTTTATATCAGGGTTCCTTTAAGGGGTATATACTATAGGGGCTACTATAAGGGTTATACTATTGGCTTTGGGTTCTTTGTAGGCTGTCTGGTTCTTACCAGGGAATGGGGGAACGGGTTATTGGGACTATTATTGGGGACTCTATAAGGACTAACTATAGGGATCGATTCCTCCATTCCCTACTAAGCACCAGGGAGTCTTTTGTGGAGGCCTCTTTGGGGTCTTCAGCTGACAGGCTTTTGGCTGGAAGGGCTTGTGTCTTTCAAGGCACTTTTCAGGAGCAAAAGACAAGGTCCTATGCTCTCTTTTGGGATCGGTTTTCTTTGGCGGGTTGCGAAACATCTCCTGAAAGGGCTCTCTGGTGTGGTGTCTTCAGTACAGGATCAGTTCTCCCTCTGTACATTTGGGAGTTTCCGAAGATAGGGGACCCTAGCATAGTACCCTAAATAGTAGGATCCTAACTATGAGGACTCCACAATAAGGTAGCCCTAACTTTTGGAAACTCCCATTTCGCTTGAGGCTCCAGGATTTTTTCCGGTGGAGAGGACGGGGAAATCCAAGTGTTTACAAGGCTTAGCCACAGAGTCGACAAAGTGTTTTGGGAAGGGTTTGAGGGTTTAGGCGTTTAGGGGTTTAGGGTTTAGGGTTGAGGGCTCTGGAAGGATGCAGGTCTGAAGAGTTTTGCATGCGGGGCGAATTGTCCATGGCAGTCTCCGGGATCCACCTAATCTCCGAAGCATCGAAAGCCCCCTAAGACTCGACTGCTGAGCCCGACCTCCTCGAAGAGATGCAAGGCCTCGTGCCAGAGCTCTGCCTTCGGAGCGAGCTCCAAAAATACATCTTCTGCGCTGGCTTGTGGAGGTTTACTACCGTATTTGCTATCGAAGGCTGTGAGAGGCACGCCTCTCAGATGTGACCATTGTGACGAGCCCTTTCCTGATCCCGAAACTTGCAACAAACGGAAACACTCCTGAAGAAGTGACACCTCTCAAGCCTGCAGACATCTAAAGCTTGAACTCTCAGGGTTATCCGCAACCCTTGCCCCAACCCTAGTCCCTGATCGAGCACAACTCCGCTACCCCGTAGCCTTTTCGCAGGCGCTCATGGCCGCGTTGCAGGTCACCAGCGTCGGCTGCAGCTGTTGTGAGCCCTGATAGGTCTTGAGGTTTAGAACCCAGAGCATAGGTTTAGGTTTAGGTTTGGGGGTGCAGAGGGTTTCGGGTAGAGGTTCGCGAGCTGCAGGATTTAGGCCCCAAAGTTATAGGCTTCGGGCTCACAAGCTGCATGGATCTGGGGACATTGAGTAGCACAGGTTCACAGGCTTGCTGACAACGGTTACAAGATTCTTAACAGGGCAGTCGGTGTTGACATGTCATTGCCTGTTAGTAGGATTCTGGGCATTGCACGCACATGCCACGGCTCGTCCCAGCGTACATCACCGAAGGACTTGGGCAGATTCTGGAGGACATGACGCAGCAGCAGCATCGAGACCCTAATCCCTACATCCCTTCGGAGACTTCAACACCTAAAGCCCCGAACCAAACCTGCACGGGCCATAAAACCAAGCCCTGTGGTGGGGCGGCCCAAGAAAAAGCTCAACAAGCAAGGGAAACATTGAAGCACGAAACCCTGAACCGCAAAGCCCTCCTGAAACCCTGAAACCCTAAACCCTAAACCCTAAACCCTTAAACCACAAACCCCTAAACCCGAAACCCTGAAACGCTGAAGGAATCTTGAAACTTCCAAGGCGCCAGGTCCGCGAGCAGCGCAAGGGCCGCCTCCCATTCGCCGGCCTTCGCATGACCAGTGTCTTCGGGTGCGAAGGGAATGGGAGTATCAAAGATTACTTCTATTAAAAATGGCAAGGCATGAGACCAGCAGAAGCGACAATGCTGGAAACAAAGGCAACTAAAATGTTTCTGGTGTGGGCTCGGACAAAACCAACCACTCCTGCATGAAAAGAAGTGCCAAGAAGGAGCAGAACTAAACGACACCTTCTCACAGGCGCTCAGGGCCGCATTCAAGGAGACTGCGTCCTGGAAAGTGCATCGACATTGGGATTAATTCTTATTAGTGATCATGAATTCTTATTACGTATTATGAGTTGTAACTAAGTATAATTAGTGATCACCTGGACCCTAAGGAACCTGCCTTTTTAGGATTCCCTAATATGATTTCTTTCTATAAGTCCCTAAAAAGGTAGGCTACTTGGGGTTAGGGTAATGATCATTAATTACCAATAATTCTGCGGCTTAGGGTTTAGGGTTTAGGGTAATTCTGGGGCTCTCTGGGTTGCTCTCCGCCTCTCCCAGGAGGAGTCGGGCCAAGGCAGAGGTCTTCTCGCGGCCATGACACCCAGAGAGCCCCAGACCCCTTAATCAAGGAATAGACTTGAAAAAATAAGGGAATTCCATCTTACACCCCTTAATCAAGGAATAGACATTAAGAAAATAAGGGAATTCATATTGGGATTTAAGCTATATTCCTTAATTGAGGGGATTTGGGCTCTCTGGGAACCCTACGGCGGCAGGGAACCAAAGAGAGGTGTGCTCCTGAAACTGTAGAGTCCCCAGGTTGGGGATTGTCGTAGAAAGTATCCGCCGCTTTATGTGCAGGTCCAACTCTACGAATATTGAAATGCTACTACGAATACGCATACATAGGTCTCTTGCCTCTTACCTAAGGAAATTTCCCTCCCCACCCCGTGACGGGTCCGCAGCCAGGCGCTCTCTCTGGATCTCCCGGAGCAGGGACAGGGACCTCTGCCATTGCTCCTGAGCCGGCGAGAAAAGGGTCAAAAGGAGCACGACCAAGCCTGCAATCATGAATCCTACATGCTTGTCGAACTCTTTTCAAAAAATAAATGACAGAAAAAACAAAAAAACATACGCTTTCGCTTGCCTTGTTAACAAATGGTAAATCAGGAATGCAAGACTTTGTGTGCTGCCACAAAACGGGGCCGACCCCAAAAAAAACAAAAACCTTCGGACGTCTTTCCGAAAATAGAGGTGCCTTATCTTGGGATCCCTATAATAAGGATCCTACTATTTCGGGTAATATATTAGGGTCCCCTATCTTCCGACATGCCCTGAACTCCAAACCACCACCGAGGCTCCCCCCGCTCGAAGGCGTGGAGGGCCGAGCTGTACGTCACCAGGGTAGGTGTAAGTCCTGGAGCTCGGGCTCCATGCCGCTTACGGAGTTCGGAGCTGAGGGTCTCGGGGTCTCGGAGTTAAGCCTACCTGGACCCGAAGGAACCAACCTTCTTAGGGCCCCTTAATATGATTTCTTTATAGAAGTCCCTACAAAGGTAGGTTATTTGGGGTTAAAGTAGGCCTTAGTTTCTGAGGGGCAGGGCGTAGATCAAGACTTCTTTGCGGTTCGGCTTCGAGCCTTTCGAGTTGTCGGTTTAGCTTCTGGGGCCGTGCTACGAAATCAACGGAAGCTTTTGCATGAACCCAAAGATATCCTCGATAAATGCTTGAAATTTCCTGCCGAAAACCGTCTCTTCGACACCGTCCTCGCTCTGGAATCTCCCGCAGTAAGGCCTCTGCCCGCTGCCACTGGGAGCCCTTGGCACAGGCGGCGACGCACGCGTTCAGGGTGATCACATCAGGGGGAAGTTGCCGAGGATGCATGTCACCTTATGTTTCGCTTCAGGATCTGCACATACACATGCAAAGCTATGACATAGGGTTTAGGGTTTAGGAGGCTCCAACTCAGCGGAAAAAGCGGTGCGGGCGGGCAGATCCAGAAGATCAAGACAAGGAACAGCACTAGAGTCACGAGAGACAGAATGAGAAGACAGAGCAAGCAAGCAAGTGGCCCGTTCCTTGAAACCGGAACCTGACAGAGCCTGTAGAAGCGCGAAGAGAAGATGACCCTATAGAACCCCACCCAAAATCCCAAGAAGCTTATCTTACCCTTGAACCGTGAATCGACGCTCAAAAAGCACACAACAAAAAGCAACGACATCGCCCAAGGCTCTGAAGATGCCCAGGGCCGACTGCCAGTGGCCGGACTTCTCACAGGCGCTGATGGCCGCGTTGCAGGTCACCGTGCTGGGCTGCAGCTGCCTCTCGCCTTCGATGGGTTCTTTGCTCTTGTTTTGCCTTATGCTATACTGTTTATATTTTGCTATACTACACTATACTATGCTATTCTCTTTCTTTGCTCTTGGTTTGCCTTATGCTCGATGTGTGCGTTCTTGCTCGGGTGAGGGCTTAGGGTTTAGGGTTTAAGGATAGCGTTTCTAGGTTCACCTATCTGCTGTTAGGCTCAGGGTCGGCGATTCCATTGTGTGGTCTTCCTGTGCGTTCACGGCTTGCAGTGTTTAGGGCTTTCTCCGAGGTTCGCTGTGGGTTTCATGGTTTGGGGCTTGAAGGCCTAGCTCAGCAGGGGCTTACTACAACGAGGACCGCTCAAGCATAATCTTAAGGGCCCTGCAATGGGCTACATTGACCAAACCCGGGCAAAGCTCTTCAGGGTCCGAGTTCAATCGAACTGTTCTGTCGGGTCAATCTGAGGTGCTTGTGGCCAAGGGCCTTGCGGGGGTCAGGGTGCTCGCTATCCCTCCGAGTCGCAAAGCTCTCCCAGCAAGTGGAGGGCCAGCTGCCAGTGCTCGCCCTTCTCGCAGGAGCTGATGGCAGAGTTGTAGGCCACAACCGATGGCCGCAACCGAGCCTCCTCAACCTCAGAAGCTCTCAACGTGCCCCCTTCGAAGCATTTTTACGAGGCCCGGTGTCCAGGGACCCGGTTTGAGGAACTCGTGCATGAGCTGGAGAGGAGCCAATGCAGAAAAGACTTAACGAACCATGAGACCGTTTGATGGGACCCCCAACACGGACCCCAACTCCTGAACAGAGCACCCCCAACTTGGAGGTTCATGGGTAGTTATAAGTAGGGTTATAAGTCCCTTAATATGGGTTGCCTTTCTTATAACCCTACTTACAACTACCCCTGAACCTCCCCCTAAGTGCAGCCGCGACGACCTGTGACAGCAAGGCGATCGCCTCTTCCCAGCGCGCTTGCCTCTCACAAGCGCTGATCGCCGATCCGAAGGTCACCACGGAGGGCAGGAGGCCCACAAGGACCAGCCTTAGACTTTAGGAGGTTTAGGGCCTTTAGGGCCTTTAGGGTTCAGGGTTTAGGAATTTTTTCTGGTTTAGGGTTCAGGGTTTATAAGCTTTTTTTAGGGGTTTAGGGGTTTGGGAGTTTGGAGTTTAGGGTTTCGGGTTTGTTTTCTTTTTAACAACAACAACGACCAGCCTTCGACAGCCGATTTTAGGGCTTAGGGCTTAAGGCTTAGAATCAATGTGGGAGTTTCCGAAAACAGGGGACCCTAATATAGTACCCTAAATAGTAGGATCCTTATTCTAAGGACCCCAAAATAAGGTACCCCTATTTCCGGAAACTCCCATGTGGCCGGGCTCTGTGTAGGATGACCATGCCTAGCAAAGATGCTTTGGTCTCTTTTGGGGCCTTGGGCTACTCTTGACGACCCTGCCCCCTTATCTCCTGTAGAACCGTTAAAAAGCCCTTAACAAGACGTCTTCAATTATGGAGGCTCCCGCGAAACGCCTAAAAAACACTGCAAGACCCTTTAAGCCCTGACAGCACCTGATAAAAGCCGTGAACAGCATGCAAGAACAAAAGAAACCTCACAAAACCTTAACCCTCACACACACGCACACACAAACACACACACACAATCGAAAAAGTGGCCCTCAAAAAAATCCCGGTTTCTTCCCCTCCAGGGAGCTCCTCTAAGGCCAGGAGGAGAGACCGCTGCCACTGCGAGCCCCTCCCAAGGGCGCTCGCCGTGGCGTTGAAGCTGATGACGTCGCGCCGCACCCGGGCCTCCTCGCAAAACTAGGGCTTATAAGCCTAAACCCCTAAACCCTAAACCCCTGGCCAGGTAGGGTTTGAAGTAAATGAAAATTTTATGTCTAGGGCTCAGGATTTTCAGGGTTTAGGATTGTTGGGGTGCTTTTTTGCAACCTACAACCCAGAAGCTTTTCCAAGACCAGAAAAACTTGAACCCACGCTTACGCGACGCCGTGGGCAGCCAAACCCCTGGAGAAAGACCCTGAAAACCCTACAACTTGCAAGAAAAAACAAAGCTTCAGATTGTGATGTCGAGCCGAGGGCTATCTGCGTGAGTTCACACCAGAGAGGCTGGGATTTCCGAGGGTGTGAGTTGAAGACAATCCCCCAAAGTACCGAAATCCCTGAAAAAGACCCGAGATCCCAATACTCGCGAGTCTTCAGCCTAAAACCCCGGAACAATCCTACACCTACCTGGACCCTAAGGAACCTACCTTTTTAGTGCCCCTAATATGATTTCGATATATAAGTCCCGAGAAAAGTAAGTTATTTGGTGTTAAGGTAAACCCTAAAGCCCCGAAAAAATCCTAAACCCTATCAACCCTAAACCCGAAAGCCCCGAAAAAAATCCCAGAAACGCAGATTCTCCTGGATTTCGGCACATCGCTTCAGGGCCTCCTGCCATCGCTCGGCCTTTCTGCAGAAGCACTGGGACTGGGGTGCTTGGATAGTTATGGGGCTCTTGAGGAGGGCATGGGGGGAATGGATCCCTGTAATAGTCCCTATATAGTCCCCAAGAATAGTCCCAAACATGCCTGGCTCGAGCTCTTTTCAGGAGGAGGATAGCTACTTGGAGGCTCATGGGTTGTTATAAGTAGGGTTTTAAGGGGGCTATAGGGTTCCTTTAAGGGTTCTTTAAGTAGGGTTATAAGTAGGGCAGCTATACTTATAATTAGCCCACGTTAGGGGACTTATAATCCCACTTAGAACTACCCCTGAACCTCCAAGTAAGGGACCGGACCGCCGGAGGGGCAGCTCCAGGTGGAGGGCACTTGGATCATGGAGGTGTCAGGGCTGCAAAGCTTCGTTTTTTTTCTGCCCAACGATGTTTTTGCTTAAGCGCCTCCTCTCTTCCAGCCAGCGAGTATGTTTGCTCACCGAAAATCCCCATCTGCTCAAGGGTTTAGGGTTCAGCGAGGCTCAGTATGTACTATAGATCCCGCGAAGCTCACTACTTTCTATAGATCCCTATGATCCTTACTTAAAACCCTAAACCCTTAAAGGAACCCCAGGAAAGAACCCTTCTTGGGGACCCCAAACCCTAACCCCTAAAGTGGCCCTGGCCTTGCCGCAGGCGCTCAGCGAAGCGTTGAAGGAGACCTGTCTGGCTCTTCGTGCGGAATGGGGGAAATAGTATCCCTATCCCTTATAGTATCCCCCATAGTATCCCTTATAGTGTCCCTCATAGTATCCCTTATGGTAGCCCCTTATGGTAGCCCTTATGTAGCCCTTCTGCGCTCCTTTAAAGGGATCCCATTCGCCCTACTCCGAAGCAGACGGGAGACCAGGCTCGGCTGCAAGGTGAGCGTCTCCACGCACCGGAGCTGGCGGAGCCTGGGCTCGGAGGGGCTTCTTTGACTCGATGGCCCTTAGGAGGGAATGGGGTCCCTTTAAAGGGGTCTATCCCTTAAGCTCGGGTTAGAGGTTGAGGGTTGAGGGGTTTAGGGTTTTAAAGGTTTAGGGGTTCAGGGGTTTGGGGTTTAAGTAGTTTGAGGCCGAAGGAATATTACGGGATCAGAGATCTGAAGGGAGATTTTGGCACCTTATGAGGGTATAGTCATAGTTTGAAGACATATTAAGGGATCTGTTTGGGACTCCGTGGATTCTTGGGGATGAAGGCCTTGGAGTTCGGGGCAGGAGCGGTTCTGGGATTCAAGAATGTCTGCCTGAAAGGTGTACGCCTCGTTTCCGAAAGTCTTGGAGAGCCCAGACGGCTTCGAGGATTCTGGGAATTCCTGCAAAGCTTTGGAGTCTTGACGACCGATGGACTTGAGGGCATTCTTGGTCTGTTGGGCGTTTTTGGGCGGGTCGGGTCGTCGGGGTGGTGTGTTAGAGTTAGAGTCTGCTAAGGTTGGGAGGGTTTAGGGTTTAGGGGATTAAGGTTTAGAGGTTTAGGGGTTTAGGGTTTAGGTTTAGGGTTTCGGGATTGGGTGTCGAAAGTCATTCAAAAGCCATCTTGTGCCTTACGGTCCCGGTAAAAGCAGGGGACATGGTCGCACGGATGCCACTAGAGATGCCGCCGCCCTTCGCCCAGGAAGCCCAGATCCGGGACCCCTCCATAGTCCGTGCCAGAAAGTCAGGAACCCCCGATATGGGAGTTTCCGAAAATTAGGGGTACCTTATTCTGGAATCCTTATAATGAGGATCCTACTACTTAGGGTACCATATTAGGGTCCCCTATTTTCGGAAACTCCTATATAAGGCCCCGAAGACAGTACTGTACCCTAAGCTTGAGAAACACACCCCCATGTGGATACTCTGAGCAGGATCCTTGCTGCTAGGCGGCGCCCCTTCCCACGCCGCGGACTTCTCACAGGCGCTGATGGCGCTGTTGAGGTCCAGCAGGTCAGTCTGCAGCTGCGCCTGCCTGGCTTTTTTGGGGTTTGGCGCTTTAGGCCAGGCCTTGCACAGAAGCTCAGAATCGCGGTTTGGGGATCATGGACTCGCTAATCAAGTTCCAGGCACGACTTCCGTCAAAGCCAGAAACTCTGGTGGACTGTCTCGTAGCAGCAGCGTACCCAGAGCGATGCAGAGCAACGAAGCGGTAACACAATGCCCCAAAGCAACAGCAACATGGTCACGACAGCATTAGGCCTTTGTCTCCTTCCTGAGGAATACTTCGATCGGTTCCATGGGGGTCAGCTACGAGGTCTCGCGGTCAGGACTTGCATAGCCCTCCATCCCATGAACCCCGTATGAGGCCGTACGTAAGAGGCCATTGAAGAGCATTGTGGTTGTGAAGACGCTGATTTTCACGTGCATATGCCTGTGATATCTCATGATGATTATACAGTATTCACTTCCCATCACGAGCGTGATGTCTATACTAAACCCTACACTCCTACACCCTCTACCCTGAAGGTGATGACAGCAACTTCGCCCGGGCCTGGTTTCTGTACAACTCTGCAGGGCGTCTGCCCAAGAGCATCGCAAAGCTGCGCCGGGGCAGCCCAGCAACATGGCACTGACCCGCGACGGTTTAGGGTTTAGGGCTTAGGGTTTGGGACGAACTGCTCTGCAGGGTTCATTGGGCGTCTTCGGGCTTGTCGACGATGGTAGAAGGTCGGGCCAAGTCCCTCTCAATGAACAAATAGCCTTTACTGACTCCGATGCAAGCCTTAAACTTTGATGAGCATTGAGGAGGTCCTCCAAAATGTTGTGAATGAACAACCCTGGAGCTGCAACGGCCATAGCGGCTCGGCAATATTTGCCGTTGTGCAAAGGCGTAAACTCCGTGAGCTCTATCTGTGTGTCCACATGTCAAAAAAAACTCGTGCTGCGGAAATTCTAGGTCGGCTTCTGGCTTGGGGTGTCGTAGTTGAGGGTTGACCTGCTTCCATTCGCCTGGGCCAAAGCATTGACGAGAACCAGCTTCCCAAACAACAACTGCGGGCCAAGTACACAGGAACCCCAGCAGAGGGTTTAGGGTTTAGGCTTTAGGGTTTACGGGCCAAGTACACAAAAACCCTAAACTCCCTCATTAGAGAAACAAGCCCAAACCCAGGCCATACACCTTCGATCATGCGACTGAGCTGGGGTTGGGGGTTTAGGCTGCCTTGAAGCAGGGCGGTTTAGGGGTCACGGTTTCTTCACGACTAGCGAAACGCAGGAACATAGGTCGTCGGACATCTGTCGCAAAGCTTGCACCACGACCCAAGTGATCTGCAAGCAGATGGTAGTTCTACTCCATTGTCTGGAGCAGATCATAGAAATGAGAACGAAGACGATGCTGGTGATGCTGATGATGACGATGATGGTGCTGATGATGACGCTGGTGATGATCATCATCATCATCATCATCGTCATGATCGCTCTCATCCTAATCTTCATCAGGGAACGACGACGACTATGGCGGGCACAGGATTCACACCGGTGCCCTTCCTCAGGACCTTTTGACCCTCAGTTTACTCTTTCAGCGGTTGACCTCTGCTTATGAACCCTATTATAAACCCTAAACCCCAAAACCCTAAACCCTAAACCGTTATCCTTCGAAGTGCTGTTACTGTTGCAAACAGACGCGAACACCGGGCACCTTGCGGTGATTTGCAGGTTTTCCGCCCGGCGATGCTCTCAGTGCGATGCGGCCCTCTGGCCGTCGGACACCGAAGCCGAGGTTTCGCGCCTGCCGAGAGCTGCTGAGCGAAACTGTGCAGCGGGTCGGTACACCCCCTTCAACTCCTAAACATTTCTGTGGCCTGCGAACCCTCCACTCCAGACCCCGACACCCTTAATTCTTACGACGCAGGGTTTCGGGGATGAGGGCATGGCCGACAAAGCCTCCGCGCTTCATCTCTGCGTGTTTCCCAAGAATCCGAACCTGCAGGAGCTGCGATTGGGCAGTGCTCAGCAGCAGGGATTCGGCTGAGGCTCAATCGGTTGCCGACAGCCTCGGAACGTTCGGAACAGTGTGCTCCGTGATTGTGACGGGTCTTACACCCTCCTAGACATCAACAACTTTGTGCTCTACAACACCCTCTGTAGACCACGACACCCTTGATTCTTGCGACACAGGGTTTCGCATTGAGGGCTGTGATGGCATCTTTGCTGGTGATCCCAAGACTCCGAACCTGCCGGCTTTGGGAGTGCGGTCAGCTTGATGGCGGAGAACCGCGTGACGAGAGTGCTGCGCAACGGGTCATACACCCCGCTAAACATCAACAACTTGGGCCGCAAAAGCCTCTGGACTAGACCCCGGCCCCAACACCCTTGACTCTCGATGTGTCTGAGACCCAGGGTTTCGACATGAGGGGGCGGTCGACAAAGACTCCCGGCTTGATCTTCAATGAATCGCAGTAGGCTGCAGACAGCTGGTATGTTTCTATACGAGGACTCGAAACTGCGTGCTCTGCAATGGGTCGTACACCCGGAACAGCGCGAACTCTGGATAGAAAAAGCCTTATAGCCCCAAACCCCTTGGTTCTGGCGATGCTGGGACTCGGGATAAGGCGGCAAGCCTCCATGCACTCGAGCGCAAGAGAGCTTCTGATGACATCAATGTGCCCCAAGTCAGGCACCAGTCTTCAGTGTGGACACCCTTTTGTCAGCAAAACCCTTGTGTCCTACGACACAGAAGGCCTCAGGCTGACCAGACTTGGGGAGGGTTGAGAGGATGGAAAAACGGCGACGCCGGCGCCGGCGTCGCCGCCGCGCCTGCCGCGTCGTTGGGGACAGGGCTCCGGCTCCACTCAAGAGCGCAGTGAGATCCCAGTCGCTGCGTAGATGAAAAGGGTCTTGGGTCACCGGGCTTGAGGAGCTGATGGAGGCGTCGGGAAGACTCTCCCGGGTCCTCGCTTCGTTGAGGCGCTGCCAAGCCAGAAAGTTCAGACGGAGCTGAGGCGCGCAAAACCAGAGAACTCGAGAATGAGCGCCCCATTGCAAGGTTTTTCCTCGGGAGATCATAACAGGGGCGTCGGCATCGCCCTTCCGGCCCTCCGTCAACCCTGACAGACGGCCGAGGAAGGAACCGCTAGCAAAGGGCGGAGCCACATGGGGCACGCAGAGAAGGCATAGGAAAGGGTGTGACAGTGGCGGTTCTGTGAAGGCGGAGGAGGCCCTGGAAGGTGCACGTGCAGCGACCGCCCCAAAGCCTTGTCGTCTGATCGCTCACTCCATGAACACTCCGTTGAAGAAAAGGTGCCCAGCGCACCACAGGCATCCGGCGAACCGCGCCGAGGCGTTCAGACACAGGACAAACTCCTTGTCCGCTGGCAGCTCTTCACTTGCAAACTCCGAGTCGAGATAGTTGTACTTCCATGTGCTGTCACCGCACCCCTCGGCAGGTGTTCGGCAGCGCAAATCGAAGCAGAGGGGAAGCCAAAGAAACTGTCGTCCTCCGCGTGCCACCCAGCGTCCTGAAGGCACGTATGGCTGAGACAGCCTCTCGCGTACAATTTGGCGCTGCCCGGCCCCGAAACACCCAAAATGCAGAAGGGAATTACTTTCACACATAGCTTCGCCGAGAAAGTTTGACCTCGAGATGGAAGGTTCAGGATTTCGATGGTTGCGAACACATGAGCAAGCCCAATGCAAGCGAACCGAGCCGCCAAGAACCGCCCGATAAATCACAAAAAGAGTTCCTCAAGCAAATCGGAACACCTCTCTTCTCACCTGGCCATGTCCCGGCGATCTTGCAGCTACTGCATGCTGGTGGAATGACGGCTCTGCTGAAAAGGCGTGAGTTTCAGGAGGGGAAGATCATTCGTCTGCTCCGCTCGATGCTTGGACAAAACCACAGCCTTCGCTCGGAGGTGCAGAGCTCGGTTCAGGCTTTGGGCATCAGGCACGGCCACCTACGATTTAAGCAAAGAAGCCCTGGGAAACGCCCATGTTCATGGATTCAAGGACTGTGACTGGTGCATACCCAGGACAGGGCTCCCATAATTAACTGCAGAGCCTCAAAGACAACAAGGAGGCTTCGCGCATTGCAGGAGGGCCTGACACGCCCTCTGACTCTGAGGCTACCGGCAACATCGGAGCTTTGCAACCTTCAGACTTCTGGTGCCGCTAGGGAGGCTACCGGCCGCGGCTTCTCAAGCGCTCGATGCGGCTTTGAGGCTTCGGGCTCGGATCCTTGGCCAACCCGAGCAGGCTGAGGCCACATCAGCGAAGCGTCAGCCGCCTAAGGCTTTTGGGGCGGCGAGGGTGCGGAAGGAGCAACGACGGGTGCGCCGCCTTGCGAAGCGACTTAAAGCCAAGCAGACCAGAACAACGCTCTTTGGGCCTGCAACTTGCGACCTTGGCGATGCTTGAGCCGATTCGGCTTACATTGCCGGTCGCAGGCACTGCTCGCATTTGGAACCTCAAGCCGGTCCAAAGATCGGCGATCTTGAAACTGACGGCGCCTGGTGGGAAGACGGCGGTGGTACAAAAATGGATCGAAGATGTCAGTCGACGGGTTTGGTGAGGGGCATGTCATTCATCTCCTCCGCTCGACGCTGGGACAAGAAAAGAAACCTCGCTTGGAGGCGCACGGCTGGGCTTAGGCTTTGCTAGGCATCAGGCACGGCTGGGCCGCAAGACTCCAGCCAAGCAAGTCTGGAAGACAGGGTGAAAGCCCCGTGAGATGCTTTTCACAAAACAGTCAAGGACTGGTGCACCACTTCTTGGCACAATCCAAATGGAAGGGAAGTGGGGGTGATTTCTTTCGCGCTGGCGCGGACGCAGCCGAGGAAGCTCAACAAGCAATGCCGTCTGCTTCGAACCTGATGATGTCTCGTTCTGAAAGTTGAAGACCTGGCAAAGACTGCAGCTGTAGCTTCAAGGGTCCATCGCTCGTCATGTGGCTGAGGACGGTGCGGGACAGCCCGCAAATGATTGACATGCCTGGAGAAGGTAAAGTCTCCGGGGAGCGTAGAAGACAGAGGAGCAGAAGTATCAGCCTCGCACCCAGGAACCACCGCACAGCGGGTACGACGGGTACGGGTAGTGCACATCATGACGACGAGAGCTCACTTTCAGAGAGGACCCCAAGAGCGGACCTTCGGACCTGGAGCTGAAGATCCGAAGCCTTATAAGAGAGGACCGTGCAGCCTTGCGGAAAGGAGCTGCAGAAGCTCCTCCTTCATTCGCATCCGCATCCTAGTAGGGTCCTATGAGGGTCCTAGTAGGGTCCCAGGGTCTTACGGGGAGCCTCCGGCAGTCTTAGAATGAGCCTTGCTTTCGTGGCACCGTAAGCCAGCGTCCTGCTGCGCCTGAACCTCAGAGAGCAGTCACCGGAAGCCCGGACTCCGCGCTGAGGGCCTCGTGACGGCGCGTCGAAGCAAGTGAGGGGCGACGCTCGGACCCACAAGTTTGCTCGTTCCAGGCTTCCTCCCACCGAATAAGAGACTCTGAAAGAAATTCTGGGGCCGCTCCGACAAACACAGCGTTGCGCCAGAAGGCAGCATGAAAGATATCCCGTCGGAGGCAAAACGATGATGGGTTCAGCACAAAACACGCAATCCTCTCGCACAGATGAACAACGAGGCATTCTGTTGCGTGCTACTGTCGCGCTCGCCATGCTGTGCAGCTTGTGGTTCGACTGCGAGAGGACCACCAACAGTCACCCATTATGAGACGGCAACGCAGAGCACGAAGCTGCTTGCCTGCCGAGGAATCTGCTGGGGAACCCGGTATTGGGAGGCTTTCGGGCGCTGGACGGCATGCAGAGCCGTTCCCGCGAAAAGAACATGAGCACAGCTTAAGGGTCTTTCTTAGCCGCTGCAACTGGTAGTTTGTTGCTGCAACCATTGAAGAGCGACCAACATGCCATTGGCCTCAAGACTTCCGATGAGCCATCACAGGCCACCGTATGCTTTGAGGCCGATCAGCTGTAGTCTCAGACGTCAGGGACAAGGCAGAAGCACGCGCGACAAGGGGTCGTCTTCGAAGGATCAGAAAGCATTATCACTAGCTCTTCTTGGCTGCCAAAACACAGCTATTAGCTTAGCAGCTTTCTGCATGTCACGTTACTGTAAGCATTTGTCCGGCAGTTGTTTTCGGGAAATGAGAAGGAGACTTCCTGGAAAACTGACCTTCGGCGGGAGTGAAGATCCTGCCTCGCTTAAGGGCTCAACATCTGAAGCTTCCACCTTTTGCTTAGCCCCTCTGCCAGACGCGGCACTGCGACGTTGCAAGTGAGAAAGTCCTGTTACTTCGCAGAACAAAAGATGCTCGGACCCACAATTTTGCTCGTTCCAGGCTTCCTCCCCCCCAATAAGAGGCTCTGCAAGAAATTCTGGGGCCGCTCCGACAAACACAGCGTTGCGCCAGAAGGCAGCATGAAAGATATCCCGTCGGAGGCAAAACGATGATGGGTTCAGCACAAAACACGCAATCCTCTCGCACAGATGAACAACGAGGCATTCTGTTGCGTGCTACTGTCGCGCTCGCCATGCTGTGCAGCTTGTGGTTCGACTGCGAGAGGACCACCAACAGTCACCCATTATGAGACGGCAACGCAGAGCACGAAGCTGCTTGCCTGCCGAGGAATCTGCTGGGGAACCCGGTATTGGGAGGCTTTCGGGCGCTGGACGGCATGCAGAGCCGTTCCCGCGAAAAGAACATGAGCACAGCTTAAGGGTCTTTCTTAGCCGCTGCAACTGGTAGTTTGTTGCTGCAACCATTGAAGAGCGACCAACATGCCATTGGCTTCAAGACTTCCGATGAGCCATCACAGGCCACCGTATGCTTTGAGGCCGATCAGCTGTAGTCTCAGAAGTCAGCAGAAGAACGCACCAAATGCGATTCCAACGTCCTGCCTTGGGTGTCTCCCAATGACAGATCGATGGTTTAGGGTTTAGGGTTTAGGGTTTGGGGGATGTTCGGGGATTCCGTCAGAGATGTGAGGAGGGGCTTCGCATGAAAGCTACTCGACAGATCCTCACCGATCCTGCGATCTTAGAGGCTTCGACATCTGAAGAAGGCGGCTGTTGCCCCGCCCCTTTGACGGACGTTGCACTGCAATCTTGCACCTGGGGAGGTCCACACTCACGGTGTTCCGGTGCAGTCGATGCCCCGGGGGCCTTAAGGCACCCTGACGCTCCCTATTATGGAGCAGGTCCCATGATCCTTTAAGTAACCTCCCCAAGGCTGCAGCCCGCCTTGGCCCATTTTGCCTTGGCCTTCGCCTCCTTCGCCGCCTTCGGCTCCTTGGGCTTCGCTGCCGCCTTCGGCTCCCGCTTCGCTCTCTGCAGGGTCTTGAAGGCCCCCCAGTGGTAGGCCGTGAGCGCTTCCTGCAGGCCCACGCTCACTCGATCATGGCCTCCTCTGGAGCTCCGCGCCCCTCCCGTCGGTTTTGGTTTCGGCGGAGCCGCGTCCAGGAAGGCACGGAAGGGAGAGAGACGGGCGACAGCTCCAGAGCCCAGTCTCTCAAAGCCCTTGCAAGGGCTGGGAGCCGGCCCGAGCGCTTTGGAGAACCCCACCTGGTTTCCTGGGCTCTGCTTTCGAGCTTTACGGCTTTAGAGCAGCTTCTTATTAAGGAGACTGCCGCGCGGCTCAGGGAAAGGCAGCCGAAGATCTCCGGAAGCTTTCAGGGGCAGAAAGCTGAAACTTAAGGCTTTTTGCAGGTCTCAACTGCTCACGAAGGAGGGTTGCGGTCGAAGAGCTCTTCGAAGCGCCGAGGGCCAAAGGCGACCTTCCACTCCGAGTCTTCGGCGGCTGAGCGGAAGCCGAGGGCCAGGAGGGCCCTGAGCTCCGCGCTTTTCAGAGCCTCAGAAGCCCATGGCTTAGGGAGGCGCTGGGAGAGTCCCAGTCTTGGAGGCAAGGCCTTGCTCAAGGCGGTGGATCCCATCGAAAAGGAGGATGGCAAGGGCACGCCAGCAATCTTTGAGGCCCTGAAGCCGCGGCGCGGCCGCACAATGAGAGGCTTGAAGACAGGAGCAGCGCTTCGTTTAGTTCAGAGCTGCTGAAGGACCCCCGTCTCCGCCTCTGCCCTCGAAGCCCTTTTTTGTGATTTTTCGGTGCTGGCTGCAAGGGCCCGGGGCCCGGAGATGAGGTTCGGTGTTCAGGTGCCTTCTTTGGCCTGGAGGCGCCTTAGAGGGTTTCGGTCTCCAGGCCAGAACTTCGAAGTGAGCAGCTTGCCTTCGTTCTAAGTGCTGGGTCCGGAGGGATTCCGTGCCTCAACGCTCCTCCGGTGAAGGAAAGCTCAGTAGGTTTTCCCTGACGTCAGCATTCCCCGGCGTCCCCTGTGGCCCTTTGGCTTCAATGCCCGCATCCACAAACACGAACCCAAAGCACTACGGCCAATGCGTCGGTCTCCGTCTCCGGTTACCGGTCCAGTGCCTAAGGGATCGTGCTGGAAGATCCTTCTGACGAAGCTTCTTGACACACTGAGGGGCCGCATGTGCGAAGGCTACGGGACACGCCGCTGAGCAAGCACAGCCAAGAGATCTCAAGGTCTCGAAGCTTGTGAGGCTCCAGCGCAGCGCAGCGTTCGGGTGCAAGGAGGATCTACCGAAAAATCCTCGTGGGCCCGGTCTTCGTAGAGCAGTGGCCCGGGCCCCGCAGCCTCCTTGGTGGTTGGATCTCTCCAAGCGCTGCTTCAGGGCCGGCGGCACCGAGCAGCTCGGAGAGGACGAAGCATCCGTCGGAACTCCGCTGCGTCTTCTGCCCAAAGCCTTAGGAAGCCCGGAGCTGCGTGGAAGTGGCCGGGATCAGTTGTTGTGCAGGTGGGGCAGGTGCTCTGGGAGCTGCCTGCGACGCGTTACGAGCCAAAGCCCGAATGCGCTGCTCCGGAGCAGCAAGCCTTGAGTGTGGTCAGAAGCGCATATTTGCTCCTCCTCCTCCGAATCACCTTCAAGTGCGCCTTGGGCCCCATGCTGGAGAGAGGACGTGAGGTGACCTTAGGTGACTCACCTCAACTTCCGATCACTCGGAGTCTGCGGAGCCGGGAACTGATATCTCACACTTCGCCCTACCAGGGCCCCTATGAAACCTTCCGAGAAGCCATTCTGCAGCCCTGACGCCCTGAGAAAAGCACGGGGGGGGGCTTCTTTGGCTTGCACCACTCCGCTAGGAGGCTGCAGAGAGGCTGAGGGATCAGAGTGAAGGGTTCAGAGTGAAGGCTCTTCAGCCTGTCGAGGCGCTCCAAACTCTAAACTTCCAAGCCTTGAAACTTGAAACTCCTTTGGCAATGATCCTCCTAGGCTGGAGCAGCTCCGTGCACAAGCATCTGCAGAGAAGAAAAGCACGTGAGGGCCATCAAGTCCCACTCACCTCAACACTTCTTCTGCTCAAAGCACCAACACTACTGACAGAAGGATGCTTCTTCGTTGCTTCGCGGTTCAAGTGCATGAGGTTTCTCAAACGGCGCAGCCGGAAACCACAATCTGACCCGGTTGGTTGCAAGACCACTCGCACCGTTTCTGCAAGCGAATCCTCTAGCAATTGACACTCCACCTTGCAAAAACCTGAATGGCCTCTGTCAATCAGCGGCTGCAGTGTGGCCGTCGCGTGCCTCCTGTTATTCCTGATACTAACGCATCTTGACATATCAAGTGCATGCTTTGCCTCAGGTGGATCCCAACAGGCGACTGCTGCAGCCCTTGCATAATGCCCCGGCGGGCTGCTCAAATGCTTGCTGAAAGGGGGTTGAAGGAGGTATCGGAAACCCTTCCGGTCCAAGTGGTGAGCTCTTCTGACTCTCCAGATGGCGAATCCTGTGCGCCACAGGGTTTGGAGGTGCCGCTGGGTGCTTACGCTTCGCCTGAGGAGTTTCTTCGGAAGCTTGACCTTCCCTTTGATCAGCTGCCATTGGTGTTCACATATCGTTTCGCATCAAGCCGCAGAGCGATCTCTGGCATCACCGAGGCCACCGACAGCCTCCGAACGTTCGGAACAGTGTGCTCCGTGAGGGGCCTTACACCCTCCTAGTCCTAGACATCAACAACTCTGTGCTCAACCACACCCTCTGCGGACACGACACCCTTGATTCTTGCGACGCAGGGTTTGGGGCACCTTTGCTGGTGATCCCAAGACTCCGAACCGAAGTGTCGGCCGCCTACGGGCGGCGAGGGTGCAAAGGGAGCGATGACGGGTGCGAAGCGACTTTAACCCAAGCAGACCAGCACGGCACTCTCTGGGCCTGCAAAAGGCGACCCTGGCGATGCTTGAGACGATTCGGCCACTCTCTGTCGGAACTGCTCGCGTTTGAAACCTCAAGCCGGCCAAGAGAACGGAGATTTTGACTCTGACGGCGTCGACAGTCTTCCCGCGTCAAGCAGAAGCTCTCTGAGATGGAGCACAAGGAGCGCTTGAAAGGCCTTGTTTTGAAGCTCCAGGCCACAGCAAAAGGGCCTCAAGAGGCTCTTTTCTCGCGAAGCACGAAGCATGCAGCTCTCAAGGCATTCCGCTCGCAGCCCTGGCGAGACAGCTGGGCTCTGGGTCGGCAGCCACGAGTTTTTCCAATCTCACGAGCTGTCGCCAGCTGCAAGCGTGCTTGGCAGCCATCTGTGGCTTCCGGGGCCTTTCAAACTTTTGTCAGCCTCTGCCAGGGACATGTCCACGGCGTGCTGCCCAGGCGTCATGTGATGCTCAGGTTACAAGTGCGAGAGCGGACGGCCCCGATTGTGCTGCACTGCCTCTGCCTTTGGGGGCTTCTGGATGCTTCGCGGTTCAACTCGGTGCCGTGTAGCACACACCGGAGCACTGACTGTAGAGCCATGTGTTGATGCCTGTTCGGCGGCTTCATGATAATCTTTGCACACGTCGGGCAGCTCTGAATGTACATGACGAGTTTTGGTTGCCTTCGCATGATCCTTGCCTGTATCACGACTCCAATAACAAGCGGGATGCAGCAAATGCACGCAGTGACGAATCTACCTCACAGGCTACCTCCATGAGCATTCTGCGCCTGATCCGAAGCTGGCTCGAAGATGTCAGTCGACGGGTTTGGCGAGGGGCATAGCATTCATTTTCTCCGCTCGATGCACGGACAAGAAACGAAACCTCACGAGGAGGCGCACAGCTGGGCTTAGGCTTTACTGGGCATCGGGCACGGCTGGGCCGCAAGACTCCAGCCAAGCGAGTCTGAAAGACCGGGTGAAAGCCAGAGGTGCGGGGAAGGGGAAGCCCCTGGGGAAAGCCCTGAGAAGCCCATATGGGACAAGGCCCATGAGCCTTTAGGGGACTTGGACCTTGGGGCCCGGCTCCAAAAAGTGGCGGAGCTCGTGGAGGTGTCAGGTCACCTGCCCAAGAGCAGAGGCACCACCAGACGGGACAGGGAGACGAAGCCGCTCTTGCCGCGATCCGCTCTTGCCTGGCTCTGCGAGAGAGAGAGAGCGAGCGAGAGAGAGAGAGAGAGAGAGAGAGCTAGCTTGCTTGGAGTGGGACTTCATAGCCGAGACACGACTGGATTTCAAACAGTTCCTGTGGTTCAGAATCTCTAGACTCTAGAATCATCTAGAATCTCTACTGCCAAACTTCCGCTTCTTTCTACAGCACGGCTCAGTACACCATCGCATTCATGACAACCTCTCCGTGTCCTGAACCAGACAACGCTCCGGAGCCGGATGAAGCCCCAACCTCACACCGAGAGCCCCCTTGGGCCTCCTAGACGCCGACGAAAACCCCACCAAACACTCTGAGATTTTAGAGTTTAGGGTTTAGTGTTTAGGGTCCACCAAACACTCTGAGTTCTACTTGGAGGTTCATGGGCAGGTATGAGTAGGGTTCTAAGTAGGGTAAGTTTGCCGATAACCCATATCAGGGCACTCATAACCTCCGCTTATAACCAACCTCCAAGTAAGGATGCCAGACCTCAAGAGGAGCCCAGAAAAGGGCTTCGGCGCAGCTTCCCACGACCTCAGCAAGGCTTCGGGTCCTTTCCCCACTTGCAAGCTTTGGGGTTTAGGGCCTCTCTCAGATCGTGCTCAAACAAAACCAGACAGACGGAAGACGAACCCCGGCCGTCGCCCAGCGGCCAGGTGACCAAGGCCCCCGGGGCCCCAGGGCCATAGAGTCTCCGGATTGCCCCCCCCCCCGAAGCAGGGAAATCCTCAACACGTCCCAATCATCGGGCGAACGGTACGGTCCCCAGGAGCTCGACCACGGACCACGAGCATCTCTGAACTCTGAACCCAACCTCGCATCAACCACTCCCAGTCTGTCAGCCCTCAACTTCACACCCCGGTCTCGGAATCGAAGCTCCCACCTCCATTCCTCGCAGCTGACCGTCGGCAGGGCTTTCCCGCAAAGGCGGGGCCGCCATGACCCGCCCGAATCGCTGTGAGCCGCAATCGAAATGGTTCCGGGCCATGGACATGTTGGGCGGCACTTCGGTAGAGTAGACAAGTAAGTATACTACATGCAGTAATAAGAATAAGAATAATAACAGCAAAAAAAGTAGTAGTAACAATACTAATATATTACTGAATTAGAATATAAGGCAATATAAGGATTCCTAAAGGGTATGGAAAGTGCACGTCCTGTACAGCCTCAACAGGACTGGGTCTCTAGTCGACGACGATTGTCATCTATGTTCTATTGCTGTTACATCACGACCGCCATCACTGCGGCTGGTCTCACCACTGACATCCCTTCATCACTGCCCTTCGTCCCTCACTTTACCCTTCACTTCTCCTTCCTGCTGCTCTTGCCAAACATGTGTTTTGGCGCGAACCCAATGTGTATCCTCGGGAGTCTGCAGAATGAAAACCCCCTATAGTGGGAGTTTATGTGCTGAAGCTTTCCTTCCAGGCTTGATCCAGGTCGCGCTTCCGCTCCGAAGAAGCCGGGCAAGAACGCGACATCCCCAGTATGACGCAGCATAATCATGGAATTCAATCATATGTG